AAAAAAAAAAAAAAAAAAATTCTTGGTCTGCAGGCCAGTCTTTATCTAACAGTGATGAGAGTTTTAGGAGGTTTCTAGAAAGAAGATGTGGAAAGCTTGTGAGTTTTTCTGGATTCATTTCAGATCACCTCCGCTCTAGTGTGGGCAGAATTAGGTACCTGTCCAGGGATGAGTGGTACAGCTTGGATTGCAGGTGGTGTCGTGGGTGGTGGTGGTGCTCTGATGCCAGCTAGCATACTGGTGCTTATCGGGCCCCGGCCCGCCCCCGCCCGCGCAGATGACCGGTGATGTGTGGTGGGTAGCGTCAGGCTTCTCTATAGACTTCGGATTCAGTTTTAGTTCAGACTAGGCAAACATAGGTAGGAATGAACACATAAAACGCCAACAGATACAGGACTGATGTGAATTTCAAACTGCTTCTAGGTTATTCTGACCTAGGGGTTTGTGAATGTGCAGATGTACAGGTGTGATCGATTTGAGTTTCACATGCCTCCTTCAGGATTCTCATGAAGTGAACAGCTACTGGTTTAGAATATGAACATACGGGAAAACAAGGATTTCAGTTTCTCTCGTCCGATTTTTGTATATTATTACTGGATCTTTCTAAATGGAGCAATAGTTGGCACCACTTGAATTTTTTGTGTTTAATTTTTTTGGTTATTTACACTTTTAATAAAGAAATACTCCATTATAACTTGTCACACATTTTGTTAGAATACCATGTTGTTAGTTTTCAAAATGTTTCCCCGTAAGCCCTTAGAATTTACTGTTTAAGCATCTACATAGTGAACTTTCCTTACTCATCAGTAGACTTGAAAAACTAAAGGTTTTCATTCACTCATCAAATATTTACAGCAGCCTACTCTTTGCTAGGCCCTGTACTGAGGTGAATATAGCAGTGCATAAGATAAAGTCCCTGCCTTCAAAGAACTTAACATTTAGTGGGAGGGACTTTTAGTAAACGAGTAAAATTTAATCCATTTAAAAGAATCTCACCCCATGTTTCCACATAGTTCCCTTCTTCACTGTATTCAGTTCTGCTCAGACCTTATACAGCCTGCTTAAAATGCCTCCACAAGCACGTACAAATGTGTTTTTTTTACTGTTTTTCATATAGAATTTATCACATGTATTTATGTTTTCATGTTTCTCAATCCTACTGAAATATAAACTCCATGAAAGCATTGGTTGTCTTTCCACTGTCATGTTCTTGAACATACTTTTTGTTAGTGAAATAAACAAGAAGATAACACTATGATAAAGGCTATGGAAGAAATACACAGAGCTGTGGAAGGAGACAGCCATTTTACAGTGTTAAAGTCAGGAAAGACCCTCTTGAGGTGACACCTGAGTTACGGTAACATCTTCATTGTGAGACATGTCAGACTTACACGTCAGATACAGGACTGGCATAGAGGATGATGTAAATGTTCAGAAACGGTATATGGTTCCGTTTCTTGAAAAGGAGGTCATTAACAGCTAAAATGTAGCAAGCAGAGGAGAGAGAGTGATAGGAAAATGAGGCAGCAGACCTATCATGCAGGATCATGAGTTTTTATTTCATTCTGAAATAAAAGTGGTAAGTCGTTGAGTTTGGGGCAGAGTGTCATGATTTATATTTTAAAGAATCACTTTTCTGTGGAGTGAATTAAAGAACGAGTAAAAACAGGGACGTGAGTTAGAATATTGTAGTCTAAAACGGGCTTGGATTAGGATGGTGGCAGTAGAGATAGGGGGAGAGAAGTGGATAGATTGAATATGGGCTTGGATGTAGAGTTTACAGGTCTTGATGGGTTGTAAGGGCGGAATCAGAGATGACTCCTAGGATTTTGGTTTTAGGGGTCAAGTAATTCATTTTACTGAGATGGACTAGACTGGTAGAGGAATGCTAAGTTAATGGTTCTACTTTGGTCAAATTAAGCTTGAGATGTTTGTCATCTATGTTTTAAATTATGTTTTACATCCTTATGACTACACAAGTAAAATGCTAATTCCATTTCCTTTTCTGGCTTCATTAGGGAAAAGGAGACCTATTGACTACTGTGTACTTCTGTCCTTAAAACATCACACTACAATTGTGTGAATTTAATCAGGCCATCACTTGCACTGAATTTTCTTTCTCCTCCTTGACATGTTTCTTTTCTATTTGCTTAAGGTTTTTTTTATATCTTAACCCTCCTTTCCACTTGTGATAATTAGGCAGGTTTCTGTGTGTTCAGTCATTAAACAGATATTTATTGAGCACCTGCAATGTTGTAGGTCCTGCACTGAGAAGCACAGTGATGGGGGGTGGAAATGGATGGTTTCTCAGTGGAGTTCCTAGCTCAGTGTGGAGAGTCAGTAATCAAACACACTTGCAAGTGTAAAATTACAACTGTCAAGTGCAACAAAAGGGGATTATTCGCAATAATAAGAATCTAATCAGGGCAGATTGAAGAGTGAATAGGGAGAGAAAGGCAGGGAGACAGCTTTCCAGGCAGAGAGAATAAACTAGAGGGAGCATGTCATGTTTAGGAACTGAAGGGAGGGCTGGACAGTGCTGGAAAGGAGAGCGGTGCAAGATGGGGCTGGACACAGCAGCATCACATTTGTTTCACAAAAGGTTGCTTCCATGTGGAGAAAGCTTTAGGGAGGCAGATTATCACCAAGGCCAGTGGGGAGACTGGTGGTGGTGCCGAGCGGAGGTGATGGTGGTTCGCTAGTTCTCCTGACCTTATTTTGGTGTTGACCCTCTTTTTCCTTTGCAGAACCTCCAGCAAGGCTACTTCCTCTCTCGTTTTTTCTGCTCATTTACACTGCTCTGTTCATAGTTAGCTTTCTTTCCCTTTGCTTTTTCTTCTACTTCCTAACTAGTTCTCCTGACCTTATTTTGGTGTTGACCCTCTTTTTCCTTTGCAGAACCTCCAGCAAGGCTACTTCCTCTCTCGTTTTTTCTGCTCATTTACACTGCTCTGTTCATAGTTAGCTTTCTTTCCCTTTGCTTTTTCTTCTACTTCCTAACTGCCTCACCAACATTTTCTCTTATTGTTTTGTGCTTCACACACACACACACACACACACACACACTCTCTCTCTCTCTCTCTCTCTCTCTCTCTCTCTCTCTCTCTCTGCTTGGTTTCCTTTTCATTCTCGCCAACTTCCTTTGTGGACTTTGTCTACTGGGTTGAAAAGATTGATGCTAAACTGTTCCACAGTTGTCCTCTGTACCAGCAACATTGCTTATGTCTCTAAATGAGACAGTATATCTTGAACTAAAGCAGTTTCTTCTAGATGATTGACATTCTCTGAATATGAGCAAGGTCTTTAGCTGCAGCCTGCTCAGGGAAACATACCGGAAAGTTCCCATTTAGCTCTGCCCTTTTCCTCTTGATTGCACTACTCTTAGAAACTAAATCATGTTGTTCCTTCCTTACTCCTTAAGCATATTTATATCCTGGTTTAATTCTAGTTGAATCGATTTCATGTGCTGACATGGAACAGTGAAGTGTAGAACCTCACTTGGAATGGAAGCAATTCTCATTAGAAATGCATTGAGTATCAAAAAAGGAGTAACAAGTGCTGGCAAGGATGTGGAGAAAAGGGAACCTCCGACACTGTTAGTGGGAATGTCAATTGGTGCAGCCAATGTGGAAAACAGTAGGGAGGTTCCTCAAAAAATTAAAAAGAGAAATACCATGTGACTCGACAGTTCCACTTCTGCGTGTTTACCCAAAGAAAACAAAAGCACTAATTCGAAAAGATGTATGTGCCCTTGTGTTTATGGCAGTATTATTTGTAATAGCCAGAATATGGAAGGAACAACCTCAGTGTCCATGAAAAGATGAGTGGAAAAGCAGATGGGGTACATATGATAGAATACTACTCAGGCATAAAAAAGTGAAATTTTGCCTTTGTAACAACTTGGATAGTCCTAGAAGTTGTTATGCTAAGTAAAATATATCAGAGAAAGACAAATATCATATAATTTCACTTATGTGGAATCTAATAATTAAAACAAATGAACAAATAAAATAAATGGACTCATAAATATCCATCAATCGGATAACTGGTAGTTGCCATAAGAACCGTAAGATAGGAGGAAAGGTGAAATAAGCGAAGGAGATAAAGAGGTACAAGCTTCCAGTTATAAGTAAGTCATGGGATGAAAAGTACAACAAAGCAAATATAGTCAATAATGTTGTAATCACTTTGTTTTAAAAAAGGAAATAAATGCATTGAGAGCATGAACTCAGAAGCCAGAATGCTGGGTTCTGACATCTAGCTCTACTACTTAGTAGCTGTGTGATATTGGATAGATTACCTAACTACTTGTGTTTTCATATTTGTAAAACAAGGATAATAATTGTAGTTGCCTCATAAGGTTGCTGTGAAGATTAAACATGTTACGATATATTAAATTCATAGAACAATTCCAGGCATATAATTCTAAGCACCATGCGCTAGTTGGAATTTTTTTTACCACATAGAAAAGAAAAAAAATTTTTTCTTGTTTTCCTTCTCTTCCATCTTGCCTTCTCCTTTGAGTTCTAGTTTGTATTGTTTTTCTTTCACTTACTGCTTCTGTTCTTCTAGGTACTATCTGAATGTTCTCGATACTCGGAGTTGACTAGTATAGTGAGAGAGGACGGAGAGAATGACATGGTGTATTTCCTGTGCCTGGCCTTCCATGAATTGTTCCTGTTGCACACGGTATCTGTTGAGTACTTGAAATCAAGAACCACAGAGGGGTTCTGTGACCTAGAGTGAGTTGGTGGGGGATTCAGAACTGAGCTTGGGACCTGATGTATAGCCTTACCCTCCCAGCATTTCCTTTCTTCTCCCCCCGGCCCTTCTTTATTCCTTTGCTTCTCCACTCTCCCTGTTCCCTGCTTTCCCTTTGGGAGGGGCCTGGACAAGAGAAGGGAAAATAGTAGGGAATTTTGGGGCATCTTCACTTAAGGATGCACAGCCACGAATCTCTTAAGACCCGACTTCAGAAACCATAGTGTTACTTCTGCTGCATTCTGTTGGCCTGGACGTCACGGAGCCAGCCTGCACCCAGGAGGGAAGGTAGACCCCACACTTGGTGGGCGGGAGCAGAGTTTGCAGCCTCTTTCCTCCCCCGTACCTGCCTGGTTTGTGCTTCAGTTGGTTGGTATTCTTTCAGCCTAACCCTAACTTGGAAATGACAGTTCTTTTGAGGTCCAAAAGTTTTTCATTTCTGGGCAGTTTAGGAAGCTAAGGAGAGATGGAACAAAGTAGACAGAAGGAAATGCTGAAGGAGGTTAAGGCTGTAAGCCAGGTCCCAAGCTCTAGTTCTGATTTCCCCACCAATTTGCTCTAGGCCACATAATCCAAAATAGCAACATAGATAGCCATTGGTTCAACTTTTCTTTGATCAGGGACTGATTCAAGAATTTCTGAAACCAGGCAAGCATAAGGAAGAACAGAGGAAGCCTTAAAAACTGTTCCTTTCTTTTTTCTTTCATTCAGTGATGTCTAGGTCATGCTGGAGTTAATGTAATCTTCCTCATTTTCATTACTGAAACTCTTAGAAAACATGGTCACACTTATAAGTAATATTAAAAAATTAAACTCACTATCTGGATAGAAAACACAGAAGTTAATCCGCAAAGTCAAAGACAGACAACAATCACACTTAAGTCGCATTGGAGTGATGCAGCAATTGACGGTGCATTACTATGAGCTGTTCCAACAGCTAAAGCACAAAGACAGTGACCACAGGAGGTAGATCACCTGTGCGATATCCATTCGATGCTGAAAACAGTGTTGGCTGCCCTAGGGTTTTGTACTTCCCACAGTTTTTTGCATCCATTACCAAAAATGCAACCTCTTGTCTATCAAGGATGTAGATTTCCAGTGCCAGAATTGGGTAGTTGTAGGGAAACTGGGATGGGAGTTCAGGCACTGTGCCTTGTCCTAAGTTAATAACACTACCTTGAGGCCATTTGAAATGAAAGACTTGAGTAGTAAGACCAGAAGCCGTATTCTGATCTTGCCTTTGGAGGTTTTTTTGCTCTTTAAAATACACTTCATGCTTGGTTTTCGGTATTTTTGCACCTCCCACATTGACTGCATCACAATCTTTGAGACAGAGCGGGGAGGAAAACACAAGCGGGGCTGGTGCCCGGTATGTAGTGAATCCGACTTTCTCTTTTTTTGCAAAGACTGAATCCATTTTTCAGGAGATGAAGAAATTCTCCAAGACGTACTGTAGATTATGTATTAACCTTTTTGTCTTTCCTGTATTCAAAAATCTGCAAGCACTCTACCCCTACAAACTATGTATGAATCTGCTGCTCAATCTTGGGGGCCTGGTGAAGATGCTGCTTCTCCACCTCCATGATGCCCATTGGCCCTGCCTCTGTGACACCTGTAGCCATATGGCTTTGAAGAAATGGGATTCCAAACTTTGGCATTTAATCTTTCTTTAGTCCAGGTTGGTCTCCATTCTCTATTATCATTACAGGAGATACTGTCAAATAATGATTCAGTTTTATCATAGTAAGAATTAAGTTTGAGAATATGCATCAGCATTTCCTTCGTAAGTTTGAGTATCAACTCCTGAGTTTCCTTTGTCTTTACCACTTACAGGCTCTATTTGTTTCTCAAGTCTATCTTCTTTTAAGTTTATTATGAGACTTGTCGGTTTTCTCCTTGTTGAATTATGCATTTCACTTTCAGAATTAAAGTGTTTCATTGGTCCCTATTTACCTGCCACCTTGGTGGTCCTGCTCTTTCCTTGGGGCTGAAAAAACATTTGGAGCCATTTGTCCCCTGGCAGTCATTTCTGAGCTGCTCGTTTTCTGTCTTTGGAAGTTTGTGTGCACCAGCTTGAGACTGTGTATTCTGTGTAAGGTAGAACCTGCTGCATTACTGTGGGGTAAGGTACCACCACTTGATCTTTCTGTTCCCATAGATGATCTAGGAGCTTCCAGCAACACTAACAGCCACAAACTGCTGCCTTATAATGGCCTCAGGCAGAACTCCCTCTCTGCTGGCATCTGGCCCAGGTGTCCCCAGAAGCCCTGCGGAAGGAACACAAGCAGGAGACAGACCTGGAGAGCTCTGAACGGCAGCTGGATCCTGAGGCAGAGTGCTGCGGCTCTGGGGGCTCACAGCAAAATCTATATTACTCCCACAATATAATATGTTCAGACTTATCTTCATGTAGTATTGGACAATCTCTTGGTCTGTCTTCTGTACCAAAGGTAAAGGTTTTATAAATGAGGAATTTGAGAAGGTCACCTCAGTTGGGCCATGTTTTCTGTTTCATGTAGCATGTTCCACTGCAGCATTCAGTATAGCTCGGCTGGTCTGGAGGTTCCAAGATGGCTTCATTCAAATGTCTGACTCTGGCTGGTATGGGAAGTTGGGCCCTTCCCTCTTCAGGTAGTCTGGAGGCCTCTTCATGGGGTGTCTGCAGCAGGATACTCAGACTTGGCACATGAGGCTCAGGGCTCCAGGACACTAGGTATCTTGACAGGTTCTTAGGAAAGACTGGGACTATAGTACTACAGAGCCACCTAAAATTGCCTTATTGAGATTTCCTGACATTTGCATTTAATTATTTATGTATTCTTTTATTGTATTTTTATTTCTGATTTACAGAAGTTTAACTTCTGTCTCGTTGATCCTTTCTGAGAGTTTTATCCTGCTTTTCATTATTGTGGAACCTTAAACTGTCAATGATAGTTTAAAAGATTGTTAGGAAGTACTTCACATTCACATGAAATACAGAGAATAAAACAGCAAAAACTCAAGTTTTACTTCCTTGTCCAAAGAAAGCAACCAGCACAGTTAAAGTGGGGGGAGGGAAACTCCTAATTTAGAGGTAATCACCACCCTTAATTATGGTTCCCATCCATTTCTTTGAATTTTACTCTTTTATGTATGTATCTCTGAACTGTGTGTGTGTGTATAAGTTGTTTTTCATGCTGTAGAATGTTTTATGGATCATGTTACACTATATTCTGCAACGTGTTTTTCATTCTTGTGGCATTGCTTGAGCGATTAACTAATGTTGATCAGAATAGCTCTAGTGTTTTCATTTTCATTGTCACTTAGTATTTCACTGTATGAATACACTGTATAGTTTATACATTCTCCTGTTTGTGGAAATATAGGTTTTATCCAACTTTTTACTCTTACATACTTGTTATTGTGAATATCTTAGTATGTCTTCATACCACTGCTATGAACTACTTAAAAAGTACATTTCCTTGTACATATGTGTTTCTCTAGGGCAGATGTCAACAAATTTTCTATAAAGGGCCAAACAGTAATGCCTTGTATTTGTAGTCCGGCAGTTTCTGTTGCAGGTACTCAACCCTGCCATTTTAGCGAGAAGGCAGTCACAGGTGGCACTTAAGAAGTGATGTGGCCATGTGCCAATAAGACTTTATGGACACTGAAACTTGAATTTCATTCAATTTTCATGTGTTATGAAACATTCTGTTTAGAAACTTTCCCCCCTACTATTTAAATATACAAAAGCCATTCTTTGCTCATGGGCCTTGCAAAAACACACAGCAGGCCGGACTTGGTTAGGCCACGTTTCATGGACACCTGGTCTTGTGTGCCCCTTAGCAGTGCAGTTACTGGGGCACGTGCGATTTTGCCTTTGCCTAAGTATTGCCGAATTGATCTGCGAGGTGGCTTCACTAGCAATTCTCAAGTTTTCCTGTTTATACACCCACTGCTGACTTGATCATATCTGATGTTTTAGTTTTTGCCCATTAGAGAGTGGTTTGAATTTATAATACATTCTGGGTTATTGTGAGGCTGAACATCTTTATTCCGGCCTTTAAGAAGCTATCGATTGTTCATTCTACATTCAGGAACTACTGAATGCCAACCTAAAGTTAAACCCTAAATAAAATACTCTTAAGTTTCTTTTTGAGGTTTTTTTCTTTGGTGTTTTCCTCTGTTCTTAATTGCTCATTCATATCCTCTGTCCATTTTGTTACTCTGTTGAAAAGTTGGCATTCTTTATGTACTCTGGACAGTAAACCTTGGTAGAATTACATGGATTGAATATATATCTTGTGAAATTATTACTTGTCTTATTTATTTATTTATTTTTGCTATAATTAATGTACAATTACATGAACAACATTATGCTTACTAGACACCCTCTGTTATCAAGTCTCCACCACATACCCCATTACAATCACTGTCCATCAGTGTAGTAAGATGCTACAGAATCACTACTTGTCTTCTCTGTGTTATACTGCCTTCCCCATGTTTGCTGCCCCCAACATTATATGTGCTGATCATAATGCCCCTTTTTCCCCCTTATCCCTTCCTTCCCACCCATCCTCCCCAGTCCCTTTCCCTTTGGTAACTGTTAGTCCATTCTTGGGTTCTGTGAGTCTGCTGCTGTTCTGTTCCTTCAGTTTTTTCTTTGTTCTTATACTCCACATATGAGTGAAATCATTCAATACTTGTCTTTCCCCACCTGGCTTATTTCACTGAGCATAATACCCTCTAGTTCCATCCTAGAGCAAATGGTAAGATTTGTTTTCTTCTTATGGCTGAATAATATTCCATTGTGTGTATGTACCACATCTTCTTTATCCATTCATCTACTGATGGACACTTAGGTTGTTTCCATTTCTTGGCTATTGTAAATAGTACTGTGATAAACATAGGGGTGCATATGTGTTTTTCAAACTGGGCTGCTGCATTCCTAGGGTAAATTTCTAGAAGTGGAATTCCTGGGTCAAATGGTATTTATATTTTGAGCTTTTTGAGTGCTTTCCACAATGGTGGAACTAGTTTACATTCCCACCAGCAGTGTAGGAGGGTTACCCTTTCTCCACATCCTCGCCAACATTTGTTGTTGTTTGTCTTTTGGATGTTGGCCATCCTAACTGGTGTGAGTTGATATCTCATTGTGATTTTAATTTGCATTTCTCTGATGATTAGTGACGTGGAGCATTTTTTCATGTGCCTGTTGCCCATCTGAATTTCTTCTTTGGAGAAGTGTCTGTTCAGCTTTGCCCATTTTTTAATTGACTTATTTGCTTTTTGTTTGTTGAGGTGCGTTAGCTCTTTATATAATTTGGGTGTCAACCCCTTATCGGATATGTCATTTATGAATATA